AGCTAAGATGCATCTCTTTCAAAATTGGCTGTAAATTTTTAGTTTTACCGTTGAATTATTATAGTTATACAATATTGTACTCAGTATACACCCTATAAGACATAAAATTAAATGAGGTTTTAACCTTTAAAAAAGATCTCCATTTCATTATTAAAATACACAGCTTCATTCAGAAAAATTCATTTTTAATGCAATTGACACTAAGATGTTTGCACATGCGTTTCTAATCTCTATATATTTGATTATTACTAGTCACCACAGTTACTTTCTGAGCTCCTTAGCAGCTGAGCATGGATATAAAGTCATCAAGTAGATTTCAATGGTAATGTTTTTAGTTGTTAATATTCCTTTGGATAAGATTGGGGCCTGCTGTTCATTTTCCCAGTTCTATGCTGGGTTACTATCTGGGAGCCTTTGGCCACCCTGGCCAACAACTCAGAAGGAAGTATCACCTGTCTGGCATTGTTGGTTGCTATGTAGCCTTTAGCTATACATACAGTCTCTTATGAAATTATATTGGCCCCTTTAATCTTTGGTTATACTTTGCTTTTGGGTGTTTAAGGCCACACAGTTGGTCCAGATAAAGCGATTTATTTTTACTCTTAAGGTTGTTTGAGGATCTGTTCCCTTAAGGTTGTTGGAGGATCTGTTCCTCAGGGGTCACATGGGCTTGGGAGGAACACTTGGCTCCTTTCTTTTACCAGTTCCACCTATGTGAAGATAAGTCAAAGGTCCTGCTCAACCATGGTTGGCTTCGCTTGAAAGCATGGAGGAAATGGTTCCTCTGTGTTGACCTTCCTCTTTATAGACTGGACACTGGTTCAAGTCCATCTGGTGGGGTCTCTTCAGCCTCCTTGATCAAGAGGACAGGTCAACCACCACAATTACAGGACATTTTGAGAGATGCTCATAGTCCCCTATGATTGTTCTTTTAAGCTCTGCATTACTTACAGACACACACATGCCACAGCGCACATACATGTGCCATGGCATTAAATGTGGAGGTCAAAGGACAATTTGTGGGAGTCAGTTCTCTCCTACCATGTGGGTTCCAGGGATCGAACTCTGGTCAGGCTTGGTGGCAAGAACCTTTACCTGCTGAGCCATCTCACTAGCCCACTAGGGAGCTTGTTTTCTTAAAGCTACAGTTCTTTTTAGTGCTTCAGCGTGTTCTCCTTAACTCCTGCTTTACTATGACCAAATTATTATAGACCTCAAACTATGTCTGTTAAACACCCAAGAAGGTTAGTTCCACCAGTCTGGTATTTTTAATTACTGTGTGTCATGTAGATAAATCTTAGGCAAAGACCAGTTTTCTTAACTAACTACTGCCCCTTCCATAAGGACTTGGAGCTGAGGGACACTGTACCAGGGTTAGAAGACTACACACTTACATTGTCACAGTGTCACCTCCTGCATGATATCATCTCTGAATCAGCAGGGAGAGTGGCTGCTACTCCCATCACGCCTGATGGACCCCTTTATCTGTGCACTCAGAACCACCCAGGCTCACAACAGTCCAGCACTTTTATTGTGCTATAATTATTTGTGGAATGTTCCACCTATGAACTTTTTTAAAAACATTATTCCTAATGAGCAAATAATCATGTGTATTTATGAGGAACAGCATGACATTTTGATAGATGTTTGCAATGTGGAATGATCTTCCTCTGAACAATCTTACCATCTTTGTTTCCCTCACACTGCTCTC